GAAACTAACGATCTAAATATTTTCTTACTAGAATTGTTATTTCTAGTTTTTAAAATTTATTTATTTATTTTATATTCATGAACTCCCTGTTAGAGATTACATGTCCTTAAATTTTAAGTCCTAAAATCCATCTCAAAAATGTATTTATTAAGAGGCCCACATTTCTACATATGCAGGCTTGGCCGCATAAAAACCGGGTCCTTATTTATTAGTAGTATCAATTTTCCTTTCAACGGACTTTGACCTAACCCCTAGATGAATATTAGGGTTAAAAAAAAATTTTTACAGTAATATGTGGGCTACCCACACACAAAGAGAATGTAAATGATCCAAAACACAATAATGTATGGCAGCCAACAAAATATATAGGAGAAGAAAATATTATGCATAGATTATGACAAACACAATGTGAATATAGAGAGATGGTAAATCACGGAAGCTCTATCAAAAAAATAAAAAATAAAAAGGGAAGATGTACCCTGGATGGTTTGATACCAATGTAAGTAAAAATTGATGGAGCACGGAGAAACACCAAACCCGATATCAGAGAGGGTGTGCCGTGAGGGCTGGTGGTCGCAGAGCCCAAATTTAATTAGGATGTGGTGTGAGGCTAGTGATCGCAGACCCCAGATTTAATTCAGTCGGTATGACATCTAGCACATGCCCAAATGTAGGCAGCATTGAAGAAATCCCAGATGGTGGTTGTGGCTCACCAAACATAGGCAAGAAAATAGAAGAAGCATATGTAGGAATGATGTTTGGATCAGAGGATGATGCATATGAGTTCTATAAGTCTTATGCATTGACCAAAGGTTTTGGGATTCGCAGGGGGACTACTCATAACAAGGAAGGTAAACAGATCGATAGGGTTTATGTGTGCTCGAAGGAAGGGGTTAAACAAGATAGACCTAATAAAAGTAGAAAGGTTTACCCTGAATTAAGGTGTGGGTGCAAAGTTTGGATATGCATAAGTTGTCAAGAAGACGGTGAGTGGAAAGTGACTAGCGTTGTTAATGTTCATAATCATGTTCTACTTAGTCCAAGAAATGCTCGTCTAATTCGCACGCATCGATCATTGTCGAGTGCTACAAAGTCATTGATACACTCAATGAGCTCGGCAATGGTTAAGCCTAGACATATTCATAGAGCAGGCTGAAGGGATAGACAATGTCCCTTGTACACAAAAGGACATTCAAAATGACATAGCAAACCCTAGAAGAAAACTTCGTGGAGAATATGACAATTTAATTTTGCAATGACTCTATAAAGAGAAGCAATTGAACCCATCATTTTTCTATAGATTGAGATTAGATGATGAAGATCACATTCACAGTATTTTATGGGTAGATTCTACATCTAAAGTTTCCTATCAGTGCTTTTCTGATGTGGTTACCTTTGATACCACATACAAGACAAATGTGTTTGGTATGCCCTTTGCACCTATACTTGGTGTAAATAACCATTTCAATACAACTTTCTTTAGATTTGCACTCATATTTGATAAGAAGATAGAATCATTTATATGGGTATTTGAAAACTGGTTGGAAGCCATGGGTGGACGACAACCACACATTATTCTCACTGATCAAGATTCTGCAATTTCATATGCAGTGAGGCAAGTTCTTTACCACAGTAAGCATCATTATTATAAGTGACATATAGTTGCAAATATCAAAGAAAAAATGTGTCATGTCTTGCGTATGCATCCTTCTTATTCAGGTACCTTTCGGAGGTGTGCGGCTAGCTCAACTATTGAACAATTTGAATTGCCTTGAAAATCAATGATTGATAATTATAACCTTGAAGACAATGAATGGCTCAGTAGACTTTATGGTTGTCGCATGCAATGGGTCGACGCATACTTGGCTGGCACGTTCACTGCTGGCATGACTTCTACTCAAAGGACTATAGGGATGAATTGTCACTTCAAGACATACTTGACACCCACAACAAGCTAGCACACATTATTAGAAGTAATTGCAAAAGTCAAAGATAAGAAGGTGTAAAAAGAGAGGTAAAATGACTTGAAAGACTTTCAAACTAATCCAGTATTGTGAACAACTACTTTCATTGAGTCACATGCATCAAAAATCTACGCTCAAAAGATTTTAAAGATATTTGGTGAAGAGGTGGCTAATTGCTTTAATTTTACGAAGGAGATATTTGAAGACAATGGACAACTTGCTACCTTTAAGGTGGCAGTCTCAGGGTCCGGATCTAGCCAATACTTATTGAAATTGAATTGTCATGACAATTTTGTTTCTTGCAATTGTCACTTCTTTGAGAGAATGGGTCTTCTTTGCAGGCAGGTACTGAAGATTTTTATGATGAAAGATGTTTTTGAAATCCATCCACAATATATAATGAAGCGTTGGACCAAAGATGTGAAGAAGGGAGTTTTTATTGATAACATTGGGGAACAAATTCAAGCAATATCTGAGCTTTCATGCTCCATTAGATATAATGAGGTTATGCCGGCAAATCGATCATTAGCTGAGCGTGCTTCACATAGTGCAGAGGGCTATGAGTTTGCAATGTCCATAATACAAAATGGAATTCGTCAGTTTCATGAAAAGTTTGTGTGCAATAGAGGTCTACAAGATAATGCAATGAGCCATGTCAATAAAGATGACAATTCTGCTAGTTGTTGTAACACACCTGGTGGAAGTAACCATTGTCGCAATGTCCTTGAACCTACACGAGCACGGACAAAGGGACGTCCGGTCACTAAAAGACTGAAAGCTCTTTTTGAGGGATGGAAGTCGAAGACAAAACAAAGGAAATGTGCAGTCGGCAATGGCAATGGTCATGACAAAAGGAACTGTCCATTGTTTGTTTGTGATAGGTACAACTACAAACTTTTACAGACCTAAGGACAACTGCTTAAATTGAAATGCTAACATATGCATTTATCTTCTTCTTACAGGGCTAAGGACAAAACACCTCATAATCTTCGGACCTATAAGAAGGCAGTAGATGTGCTACAATGGTAAGTTCATATTTTTAAATTCAATTTCAAACATTTTTATATGCATGTAAGTTTTATTTATAATTTCATTTGGAACACTATGGTCACTCATATTGCATTTTATGTCTCTGATAGAGAGGACAAATTCATATGGAAGTACTTCAAAGGAGGTGGTTATGTTGCTGCAGGGATACAATATTTATGTCTCGTACATTGTATGTGTATATAATATTCTAGCAGAGATACATCTCTCTCTCTCTCATC